TATGACGTCATCATCAGTACATTTATTTTTCGTTTTGCCATTAAGGATGATATACTATACATTACCAAGGTTTCTACATTAGTAGAATGTAGGACAGTTGACGACTTCGTTATGACGTCGAAAATGGTGACTTTTCAATAATATAGCGATGATTTTGTATCTCAGGCGGCCAAATGCCTAGAATTTAATTAGATAATTTTAATGACGTCATCATCGGTACTTGTCTTATAACCTGGATGGCCGAATACCTAAAATAATCAATCAATTAAATAGTTTTAATAACATCACTATCTGTACGTGTCTAGTATCCTTGATAGCCAAATGCCTGCAATAATGACATTTTCTATCTAATTTCGTGACGTCATCATTAGTACTGATATACATTTTTAAAAAGCTTTTAGAGTGAAATGAGGCTATGGCTGTATTAGTTTAATGACCACAGCTTCATTTCACCTAGTAGGCTGTCAGTGACGTCATTGTAAGTATTTGCTCTATATGTTGGGTGATCAAATGCCTGGAATAATCAATCAGTTACATAATTTTAATAACATCATCATCTGTACGTGTCTAGTATTTTTGATAGCCAAATGCTTGCAATAATCAAATTTTCAATCTAATTTCGTGACGTCATCATTAGTACAGATATAAATTTTTCAAAGGCTTGTAAAGTGAAATGAGGCTGTAGCTGTGTTAATTAAATGGCCATAGCCTCATTTCACTTAGTAGGCCGATTCCTAAAAATTTCAGTGACGTCATTGTAAGTCTTTGTCCGATATGTTAGGTGGTTAAATGCCTGGAATAATCACTCAACGTCACCATCAGTACGTGTCTAGTATCCTTGATGGCCAAATGTCTGGAATAATGAATCAATTAGATCATTTTAATTACGTCATCATTGGTTTAGTTTTGATATTTGATGCCTGCAATAATCAAATTTTTTATCTAATTTCGTGACGTCATCAATATAACTTATATTGAAAACTCAGATATAAATTTTTAAAAGGAATAATGAATCAATTATATATTGTTATGACGTCATTATCAGTATATCTATTTTTCGTCCTTATTCATTTGCCATTAAAGATGATATACACTACCAAGGTTTCTACATTAGTAGAATGTAGGACAGCTGACGACTTAGTTATGACGTCGGAAATGGTGACACACAAATATAGCGATGGCCTTGTATCCCAGGCGGCCAAATGTCTAGAATTTAATTAGATAATTTTAATGACGTCATCATCAGTCCTATAACCTGGATGGCCAAATGCCTGGAATAATCAATCAATTAAATAATTTTAATAACATCATTATCTGTACGTGTCTAGTATTCTTGATAGCCAAATGCTTGCAATAATCATATTTTTAATCTAATTTCGTGACGTCATCATTAGTACAGATATAAATTTTTCAAAGGCTTGTAAAGTGAAATGAGGCTGTAGCTGTGTTAATTAAATGGCCATAGCCTCATTTCACTTAGTAGGCTGATTCGTAAAAATTTCAGTGACGTCATTGTAAGTCTTTGTTCTATATGTTAGGTGGTTAAATGCCTGGAATAATCACTCATGATCACTCGACGTCACCATAAGTACGTGTCTAGTATCCTTGATAGCCAAAAGTCTGGAATAATGAATCAATTAGATCATTTTAATTACGTCATCATTGGTTTAGTTTTGATATTTGATGCCTGCAATAATCAAATTTTTTATCTAATTTCGTGACGTCATCAATATAACTTATATTGAAAACTCAGATATAAATTTTTAAAAGGAATAATGAATCAATTATATATTGTTATGACGTCATTATCAGTACATCTATTTTTCGTCCTTATTCATTTGCCATTAAAGATGATATACACTACCAAGGTTTCTACATTAGTAGAATGTAGGACAGCTGACGACTTAGTTATGACGTCGGAAATGGTGACACACAAATATAGCGATGGCCTTGTATCCCAGGCGGCCAAATGTCTAGAATTTAATTAGATAATTTTAATGACGTCATCATCAGTCCTATAACCTGGATGGCCAAATGCCTGGAATAATCAATCAATTAAATAATTTTAATAACATCACCATCTGTACGTGTCTACTATTCTTGATAGCCAAATGCCTGCAATAATCAAATTTTTTATCTAATTTCGTGACGTCATCATTAGTACAGATATAAATTTTTCAAAGGCTTGTAAAGTGAAATAAGGCTGTAGCTGTGTTAATTAAATGGCCATAGCCTCATTTCACTTAGTAGGCTGATTTCTAAAAATGTCAGTGACGTCATTGTAAGTCTCTGTCCTATATGTTAGGTGGTTAAATGCCTGGAATAATCACTCATAATCACTCAACGTCACCATAAGTACGTGTCTACTATCCTTGATGGCCAAATGTCTGGAATAATGAATCAATTAGATCATTTTAATTACGTCATCATTGGTTTAGTTTTGATATTTGATGCCTGCAATAATCAAATTTTTTATCTAATTTCGTGACGTCATCAATATAACTTATATTGAAAACTCAGATATAAATTTTTAAAAGAAATAATGAATCAATTATATATTGTTATGACGTCATTATCAGTACATCTATTTTTCGTCCTTATTCATTTGCCATTAAAGATGATATACACCACCAAGGTTTCTACATTAGTAGAATGAAGGACAGCTGACGACTTAGTTGTGACGTCGGAAATGGTGACACACCAATATAACGATGGTCTTGTATCCCAGGCGACCAAATGCCTAGAATTTAATTAGATAATTTTAATGACGTCATCATCGGTACTTGTCTTGTAACCTGGATGGCCAAATGCCTAAAATAATCAATCAATTAAATAGTTTTAATAACAATACTATCTGTACGTGTCTAGTATCCTTGATAGCCAAATGCCTGCAATAATGACATTTTCCATCTGATTTACGTGACGTCATCATTAGTATCGATATAAATTTGTTTTGATATTTGATGCCCAATAATCATATTTTTCATCTAATTTTGTGACGTCATCATTGGTACTTACATTGAGAACTCGGATATACATTTTTTAAAGGCTTGTAAAGTGAAATGAGGCTGTGGCTATGTTAGTTTAATGGCCACAGGTTCATTTCATCTAGTAGGCTGATTTCTAAAAATCTCAATGACGTCATTGTAAGTATTTGTTCTATATGTTAGGTTGTCAAATGCCTAGAATAATTACTCAATTAAATAATTTTATTGACGTCACCATCAGTACGTGTCTAGTATCCTTGATGGCCAAATGCCTGGAATAATGAATCAATTAGATCATTTTAATTACGTCATCATTAGTTTAGTTTTGATATTTGATGCCTGCAATTATCTCATTTTTCATCTAATTTCGTGACGTTATTATTAGTACTTACAATAAAAACTCAGAGGCTGATTTCTAAGAATCTCAGTGACGTCATTATAAGTACTTGTCCTATATGTTAGGTGGCTGAATGCCTGGAATAATGAAATAATTTTAATGATGTAACCATCAGTATTTGTCTAGTATTCTTGATGGCCAAATTCCTGGAATAATCAATCAATTAGATTATTTCAATTATGTCATTATCAGTTTAGTCTCGTATATTTAATGTCTGCAATAATCATATTTTTTATCCAATTTCGTGACGTCATGATTACTTAGATATACATTTTGTAAAGGCTTGTAAAGAGAAGTGAGGCTGTGGCTATGTTAATTTAATGACCACAGTTTTACTTTACCTAGTAGGCTGATTTTTAGAAATCTCAGTGATATTATCAGTTTTTGTTCTATGACCTAGGCAGCTAAATGCCTAGAAAAATCAATCAATTAAATAATTTTAATGACGTCACTATCAGTATTTGTTTTTTATCCTAGATGGTTAAGCCTGGAAAAATAAATTAATTATAAATTATAATGACGTCATCATCAGTACATTTATTTTCTGTCCTTACCCATTTGTCAAGTGCGCCATTTTCGTCCTTACTTATTAGCTGCTTATTTTTGACTCATCCCATCGATCCTTTGCTCATTTTTGTCCCTTTTTAGCATTATGCCGTTATTTAGTACGTGTCTTATATCTAAATAAATTTAATTAGATAATTTCAATGACGTCATCATCAGTACTTGTCTCGTATCCTAGATTGCTAAATGCCTGAATAATCATTAATCAATCAGTTATATATTATAATGACGTTATCATCGATACATCTATTTTTCGTCCTACCCATTTGTCATCAAGGATGATACACACTACTACTACAGGATATAGCTTATCTTCATAAGGCTTGTTTGAAATAAAACCCCTCTCCCCCCAAGGACAATACACACTATTACTATAAAATAGCTTATCCTTATAAGGCCTGGAAAAAATCCTTCCCCCAACGCCATTTTGTATCAACTGTCAAAGAAAACAAGGCCTACTTTGAAACGTCAATGTTTTGACGTTTGTTGTGTCATGAGCAGTGTTGCCCTATGTTTTTTTTTTTTAAATCTTGAGTCCAGAAATATTTTAGTACGAGCCCGGAGGGCCAAGGTTATACGAGCCCAAAGGGCCGGAGTTAAACGAGCCCTAAGGGCCGGAGTTTTTTCAATTATGAATCCAGGAGGGCTGGGTTTTAGTCTATAATGCCCTTAATTGAATAGTATTAACTATCGAAGGATGATATATATACATCTACAGGATTGCTTATTAGCCTCGTTTTTGGTAATCGCCGCCATATTGGTATGTCATCATTTCTGAGTCGTCAGCTGTTTAAACATCCTACAAGAACTGGTGATTTGGGGAAGGGAGGATTTGTTACACATAAGCCTTATGAGGATAGACTATCCTATAATAGTAGTAGTGTGTATTATTCTTGGTCATTCAGTATGTGTGGCCAAATGCCTAGATAATTTTAATGACGTCATCATCAGTACTTGTCTTGCATCCTAGGCGGCCAAATGCCTGGAATAATCAATGAACTATAAAAAAAAACTGGAATGCGCACACTAATGCCGACATAATATATATAACGTTTTGACAAGTTTTGTTATATTTACTTACAGGACAATCAATTATATATAATAATGACGTCATCATCGGTACATTTATTTTCCGTCCTTCACTTTTGTCCGCCATTTTTGTCCTCGCCCATGTGCCATTACATCTTATTACGCCGCCATTTTCATCCTCAACCAATTTTTTTTTTCTTTTATTCCAGCCATCATGTACTTGTACAATTTGACCCTGCAAAAGGCTTCGGCCATCACCCACGCCGTGCACGGTAACTTTTCCGGCCAGAAAACCCAAGAAATCGTCATCGCTCGCGGCAAAAGCATCGAACTTTTACGTCCCGACCAAAACACCGGAAAAATCCACACACTTTTGGCAATCGAAATTTTCGGAGTGGTACGATCTATGATGGCGTTTAGATTGACTGGCAGTACCAAGGATTATGTTGTACTAGGCTCGGACAGTGGCAGGATTGTTATTTTGGAATATTTGCCGCAAAAGAATGTTTTTGAAAAGGTGCATCAAGAAACGTTTGGCAAAAGTGGTTGTAGGAGGATTGTGCCAGGGCAGTATTTGGCTACTGATCCTAGAGGCAGGGCCGTAATGGTTGGAGCGGTTGAAAAGCAAAAACTTGCTTATATTTTGAATAGGGATGAGCAGGCACGCTTAACAATTTCTTCCCCTTTAGAAGCACATAAGAGTAATACTTTAGTATATCACATGGTTGGAGTAGATGTTGGCTATGATAATCCTTGCTTTGCCTGTTTGGAGATTGACTATGAGGAAAGCGATCTTGATCCTAGTGGGGAGGCGGCTCAAAAGACTCAGCAAACTTTGACGTTTTACGAATTGGATTTAGGTGTCAACCATGTTGTCAGAAAGTATTCTGAGCCACTAGAAGAGCATGCAAATTTTTTGATTAGTGTGCCAGGAGGTGATGACGGGCCAAGTGGGGTGTTAATTTGCTCAGAAAACTACTTGACATATAAAAACTCGGGCGATCAACATGACATTAGATGTCCAATTCCTAGAAGGAGGAATGACTTAGATGACCCTGAAAGAGGGATGATTTTTGTTTGTTCGGCAACTCACAAAACTAAGTCGATGTTTTTTTTTTTGGCTCAGACTGAACAAGGTGATATTTTCAAAATCACCCTTGAAACTGATGGGGGGATGGTGACTGAAATTAAGCTGAAATATTTCGATACAGTTGCGGTTGCAATTGCAATGTCAGTACTGAAAACTGGTTTTTTGTTTGTGGCTTCCGAGTTTGGGAATCATTATTTGTATCAGATTGCTCATTTAGGTGATGATGATGATGAGTTGGAGTTTAGCAGTGCAATGCCTCTAGAGGAGGGAGACACGTTTTTCTTTGCCCCAAGGGCTTTGAGGAATTTAGTAATGGTGGATGAAGTTGAAAGCCTTTCTCCAATATTATCGGCTAAAGTGGCTGATTTGGCTAATGAAGATACGCCACAATTGTATATGTTGTGTGGCCGAGGTCCCAGATCAAGCCTTAGAGTTTTGAGGCACGGATTAGAAGTGTCAGAAATGGCTGTGTCAGGTCTTCCTTCTAATCCTATTGCCGTTTGGACTGTCAAACGTAAAAACGAAGACGAATTTGATGCCTTTATTATTGTCTCCTTTGTAAACGCTACTTTAGTACTGTCAATTGGAGAAACTGTTGAAGAAGTACACGATAGTGGATTTCAAGGGATTACGCCTACTTTGGCATGTTGCGCGTTGGCAGATGATGCCTTAGTGCAAGTTTACCCAGACGGTATTAGGCACATTTGCGCTGACAAAAGAGTAAACGAATGGAAAGCTGGCAAAAAGGCGATAATCAAGTGTGCAGTCAATCAACGTCAAGTTGTAATTGCCTTGGCAGGAGGTGAACTTGTCTATTTTGAAATGGACCCTAAAGGTACCTTGCACGAATACAAAGAACGCAAACGAATGCCTTGTGAAGTTTTATGTATGGCATTGGCAACAGTGCCTAATAACGAGCTAAGAGCATGGTTTCTTGCCGTTGGTTTATCAGATGGTACAGTGAGGATTTTTAGTTTGGACCCTGCAGATTGCTTAGCACCCCGTGCTTTACAGCCGTTGCCAAATTGTGCCGAAAGTCTTTGCGTCGCAGACATGGGCGGTACCAAAGATAGTACTTTATATTTGTACATTGGCTTGCAAAATGGGGCCTTATTGCGCACAGTCCTTGACCCTCTTACAGGCGAACTGTCAGATACGCGTACAAGATATTTAGGTTCTAGACCGGTAAAATTGTTTAAAATTAAAATGCAACAAAGCGAAGCAGTTTTGGCAATGAGTAGTAGGTCTTGGTTGAGCTACTATTATCAGTCAAGGTTTTACTTAACCCCCCTATCATACGAAAGTTTGGAATATGCTTCAGGCTTTAGCTCGGAACAATGTCCCGAAGGCATTGTTGCCATAAGTACAAACAAATTAAGAATCCTAGCCCTGGAAAAACTCGGGGCAGTTTTCAACCAAGTCTCCTTCCCACTAGAATACACCCCAAGAAAATTCAATATTCATCCCGAAACAAAAAACCTAATAATCCTAGAAACCGAGCATAACGCCTATACAGAATCCACAAAAATCCAACGCAAATTGCAAATGGCCGAAGAAATGAAGGAAGCTGCAAACGAAGATGATTCAGAATTGGCCCGCGAGATGGCAGAAGCATTTTTAAGTGAAGACTTACCTGAACAAACTTTCTCTTCACCTAAAGCAGGCCATGGAATGTGGGCCTCCCAATTAAAACTCATGGACCCTTTAACAGGAACAATCTACAAAAAACTAGCCTTTACCCAAAACGAAGCGGCAATGAGTTTGACTTTGTGCAAATTCCACGGACAACCAGAACATCAATGGTTCCTGGTCATAGGAATCTCCAAAGACTTCCAACTCAACCCAAGATTATGCCACAAAGGTTTTTTGGACACATACAAACTCGATCCAATGTGTCGCGATTTAGCCCTAGTCCATCGCACACCTGTTGACGAAGTCCCTACAGCCTTATGCGCATACAACGGCCGCCTTTTAGTAGGCGTAGGCCGTATGTTGCGCCTATACGATTTAGGAAAAAAGAAGCTTCTGCGCAAATGCGAAAACAAACACATCCCTAACGGAATTGTCAGTATTCAAGCCATTGGTAAAAGAATCTATTGCGCAGACATCCAAGAATCAGTCTTCATGGTCAGATACAAACGAGCCGAAAACCAACTAATAATATTCGCAGATGACACGCATCCAAAATGGATTTCAGCCACTTGTATTCTTGACTATGACTCAATTGCAACAGCGGACAAGTTTGGCAACGTCTCAATTTTGCGCCTCCCGTCAAACGTCACCGATGACGTCGAAGAAGACCCAACAGGCAACAAGGCCTTATGGGACAGAGGCCTCTTAAACGGTGCATCCCAAAAGGCAGGCACTGTTGCCACATTCCACATCGGCGAAACTGTTACAATGTTGCAAAAAACCACCCTAATACCTGGCGGCAGTGAGTCTCTAATCTATGCCACCTTAAGCGGTACTATTGGAGTTTTGGTTCCATTTACGTCTCACGATGATCATGACTTTTTTCAACATTTAGAAATGCACATGCGCAGCGAAAATGCGCCGCTAGGCGGCCGCGATCACTTGTCCTACAGGAGTTATTATTTCCCGGTCAAAAACGTCATCGATGGTGATTTGTGTGAGCAGTACAACGCGTTGGAGCCGCAAAAGCAGCGCAGCATCGCGCAGGATTTGGACAAAACCGCCGCGGAGGTGTCCAAAAAGTTGGAAGATGTCAGGACGCGGTACGCGTTTTAAGGTTAGGATTAGGGACTATTTTTAGGTTAGGATTAGGGATTTTTTTTTGTCTGAATTTAATAATTAAATAAACAAATTGCCATTGTTTTTTTTTTAATTCCCATATATCAAGTTTATGTTGTAAATGAATACAAAGATTACAGGTTTCTGTAATGGCAGTAATATTTTTCAAATAGTCTTGACTTTGATTTGATAGATGGCGCTCAAGAGGTTGGCCACAAAATGGCGGCGCTTTCATATTAATATATAGGATTTTAAAGAAACAATCAAAAAGAAGACGGCAATTGTCGCCATTATGGTAATAGTCACTGTATGTTTAATTTCGGCCACTCCTTGATAGATGGCGCTAGTAAAAATCAATTGATTTTTTTTGTTACAGGAATCTGCAATTTCTTGAAAATTTTATACAAATGTAAATGCTAATTAGTTGATTCCAATGTAATCATATTTAACAATAAATAAACATTATTTGTTTATAAATACATTTAATTATTATTACAGGAATCTGTAATTTACACTTTTGGCCCCTAACGATTGGGTCCAAAATTTTGAATATTTTGTCAATTATTTAATTAGTTTTAACGTATTTATTAATTAAAATTGCATAAAATGATTAATTACCAGAATTTACATTAAAATCAAATCCTTATATTACAGAATTCTGTAATTTGGAACTTTATTTCGTTTACCAATAGAGGGCACTGATATGGGATTTTTTTTTTCCTATTTCAAGCTCCTCACTTTCCTCTCTTTCCTGTAAAATTTTCAAATTTTTCCCTTCACCAGTTTTCCAGAAAAAAAATTAAATGTAAGAGGATGAATTTTCCTTAATTTTGCTTAAAAAAGTCAATTTTCCAGAATTTTTCCTAGAGTGATTTTTCACTGGACTTGACACTCGACTCAGAAAAATTTTCTTTAACTTTTCTTGAATTTGTAATTGAAGCAAAATCCAAAAAAAAAATAGAATTTTCGACCCAGAATTTCTTTTTGACGACTCAGAAAAAATATCTTCTACTTAAATATCGACTCAGCAAAATTTTCTTTGACTTTTATGAATTTGTAATTGAGGCAAAATCCCAAAATAACGCGAAAAAATAGAATTTTCGACTCAGAATTTTTTTTCACGACTCAGAAAAACTATTTTCTTCTCAAAAATCGACTCAGAAAAATTTTCTTTGACTTTTCCTGAATTCGTAACTGAGGCAAAATCCAAAAAAAAGTTTAATTTTCGACCCAGAATTTTTTTTTTCACGACTCAGAAAAAATATTTTCTACTTAAATATCGACTCAGAGAATTTTTTTTTTGACTTTTCTTGAATTTTTAATTGAGGCAAAGTCCAAAAAAATTAGAATTTTCTACTAGGAATTTTTTTTCACGACTCAGAAAAAATATTTTCTATTTAAATATCGACTCAGAGAATTTTTTTTTTGACTTTTCTTGAATTTTTAATTGAGGCAAAGTCCAAAAAAATTAGAATTTTCTACTAGGAATTTTTTTTCACGACTCAGAAAAAATATTTTCTATTTAAATATCGACTCAGAGAATTTTTTTTTTGACTTTTCCTAAATTTGTAACTGAGGCAAAATTCAAAAAAATTTGAATTTTCGACTGAGAATTTTTTTTGCACGACTCAGAAAAAATATTTTCAACTTAGATATCGACTCAGAAAAATTTTCTTTGACTTTTCTTGAATTTGTAATTGAGGAAAAATCCAAAAATAACGCAAAAAAATTAGAATTTTCGACTCAGATTTTTTTTTTCACGACTCAGAAAAAATATTTTCTACTTAAATATCGACTCAGAGAATTTTTTTTTTTGACTTTTCTTGAATTTTTAATTGAGGCAAAGTCCAAAAAAATTAGAATTTTCTACTCGGAATTTTTTTTCACGACTCAGAAAAAATATTTTCTATTTAAATATCGACTCAGAGATTTTTTTTTTTGACTTTTCCTAAATTTGTAATTGAGGCAAAATTCAAAAAAATTTGAATTTTCGACTGAGAATTTTTTTTGTACGACTCAGAAAAAATATTTTCAACTTGGATATCGACTCAGAAAAATTTTCTTTGACTTTTCTTGAATTTGTAACTGAGGCAAAATCCAATAAAAATAAAATTTTCGACCCAGAATTTTTTTTCACGACTCAGAAAAAATATCTTCTACTTAAATATCGACTCAGAATTTTTTTTTTTTGACTTTTCTTAAATTTGTAATTGAGACAAAATCCGAAATAATTAGAATTTTCGACTCGAATTTTTTTTTCACAACTCAGAAAAAATATTTTCTTCTCAAAAATCGACTCAGAAAAATTTTCTTTGACTCTTCCTGAATTCGTAATTGAGGCAAAATCGGAAATAATTAGAATTTTCGACTCAGAATTTTTTTTCACGACTCTGAAAAAATATTTTCTTCTCAAAAATCGACTCAGAAAAATTTTCTTTGACTCTTCCTGAATTCGTAGTTGAGGCAATATCCGAAATAATTAGAATTTTCGACTCAGAATTTTTTTTCACGACTCAGAGAAAATATTTTCGACTCGAATATCGACTCAGAAAAATTCTCTTTGACTTTTCTTAAATTTTTAACTGAGGCAAAATCCAAAAAAAGTTGAATTTTCGACCCAGAATTTCTTTTTCACGACTCAGAAAAAATATCTTCTACTTAAATGTCGACTCAGAAAAATGTTCTTTCACTTTTCTTGAATTTGTAATTGAGGCAAAATCCAAAAATAACGCAAAAAAATTAAAATTTTCGATTCAGAATTTTTTTTCACGACTCAGAAAAAATATTTTCTACTGAAAAATCGACTCAATTTTTTTTTTCTCAATTTGGCTTAAAAAAGTCAATTTTCCAGAATTTTCCTGGAGTGAATTTCTACTCAAAAATGTTGAAATTTTCCTATAATGATCTCCTCACTTTCCTCTTTTTCCTGGAAAATTTTCAAACTTTTCCCTTTACCAGTTTTCCAGAAAAAAATTAAAATGTAAGAGAATGAATTTTCCTTAAAAAATCAATTTTCCAGAATTTTTCCTGAAGTGATTTTCCACTGAAAGATTTTGAAATTTTCCTATAATGATCTCCTCACTTTCCTCTTTCTTCTGGAAAATTTTCAAATTTTTCTCTTTACCAGTTTTCCAGAAAAAATTAAAATGTAGGAGGATGAATTTTCCTTGATTTTGCTTAAAAAAGTCAATTTTCCAGTATTTTTCCTGGAGTGATTTTCCAATGAAAAATTTTGAAATTTTCTTTTAATAATTTCCCCACTTTTCTCTATCTCCTGGAAAATTTTCAAATTTTTCCCTTTATCAGTTTTCTAGAAAAAAATTAAAATGTAAGAAGATGAATTTTCTTTAATTTTGCTTAAAAAAGTCAATTTTCCAGAATTTTCCTTGAAGTGATTTTCCACTGAAAAATGTTGCAATTTTCCTATAATGATCTTCTCGCTTTCCTGTTTCTCTTGAAAAATTTTCAAATTTTTCCCTTTATCAGTTTTCCAGAAAAAGATAAATTTTCCTTAATTTTACTTGGAAAAGTTAATTTTGTAAAATTTTTCACTGTGAAATTTTGAAATTTTCTATAGAAATTATGCGAAATTTTAAAGAAATTATGCAGAATTCTATGTATAGATTCATTGAAATTATGCGGAATTCTATTTAAATACATCAAAATTATGTGAAACTTGAATGAAATTAAGCAGAATTCCAAAGAATTTATGCAAAATTTTATTGAAATTATGTTGAATGGCAGTGAAATTGTGATGAATTGCATACAAATTATGCGGAATTCCAGTGGAACTATTTTAGATTTCCCGGAATTCCTCATAAATTGAGCACAATTTTAACGAATTCCACAATTTTATAGAAATTGTGCGGAATTTATAAAAATTATACACAAATTTCAATATAATATGCGAAATTCTATTAAAATTAAGGTAAATTCCATGAAAAAGTATGCAGAATTGCAAAGAAATTAGGCGGATTTTTAGTGGAATTATGACAAATTCCAGCAAAATTATGATGAATTCCATACAAATTACGCGGAATTTTATACAAATCAAATTACATTGAAATTATGCAGAATTCAAGGGAAATTATGCTTAATTCTAACAAAATTATGCTGAATTTCATAGAAATTATGTCGAATTTCATACAAAGCAAGTGGAATTCTATTGAAATAATGCGGAATTCCAGTGACATGTAAAATTTTGCTAAATTATACTAAATTTCATAGAAATTATGCTGAATTTTAGTAAAATTATGCGGATTTCTATAAATTTACCGTAAAATTCTATTGAAATTAGATTTTTTCCTGGAGTGCTTTTTCAATGAAAAATTTTTAAATTTTGCTTTAATGAGATTCTCACTTTCCTCTTTTTTTTCTGGAAAATTTTTACAATTATCTTTTTGCCAGTTTTCTAGAAAACACATAAAATGTAAGAAAATGAATTTTGCTTAAAAAAGTCAATTTTCCAGAATTTTTCCTAGAGCGATTTTCCACTGAAAAATTTTGAAACTTTCTTATAATAATTTCCTCACTTTTCTATTTCTCCTGAAAAATTTTCAAATTTTTCCTATTACATATCAGTTTTCAAGAAAAAAATTAAAATGTAAGAGGATGAATTTTCCTTGATTTTGCCTAAAAAAGTCAATTTTCCATAATTTTTCCTGGAGTAATTTTCCACTAAAAAATTTTGAAATTTTCCTATAATGATCTCCCCACTTTTCTATTTATCCTAAAGAATTTTCAATTTTTTTCTTCTCAAAAATCGACTCAGAAAAATTTTCTTTGACTTTTCTTGAATTCATAATTGAGGCAAAATCCGAAAAAATTAGAATTTTCGACTCAGAATTTTTTTTCGCAACTCAGAAAAAATATTTTCTGCTTGAATATCGACTCAGAGAAAATTTCTTCGACTTTTCTTGAATTTGTAATTGAGGCAAAATCCAAAAAAAATAGAATTTTCGACTTAGAATTTTTTTTCACGACTCAGAAAAAATATTTTCCACTCAAATATTGGCTCAAAAAAAAATTCTTTGACTTTTTTTGAATTTGTAATTAGGGCAAAATCCAAAATTAACGCAAAAAAAAATAAGAATTTTCGACTCAGAATTTTTTTTCGCGACTCAGAAAAAATATTTTCTTCTCGAATATTGACTCAGCGAGACATTTTTTTTTTTTTAAGTTTTTTCGAATTTGTAATTGAGGCAAAATCCAAAAATAACGCAAAAAATTAGAATTTCCGACTGAATTTTTTTTTCACGACTCAGAAAAAATATTTTCCACTCAAATATTGGCTCAAAAAAAAATTCTTTGACTTTTTTTGAATTTGTAATTAAGGCAAAATCCAAAAATAACGCAAAAAAATAGAATTTTCGACTCAGAGTTTTTTTTCACGACTCAGAAAAAATATTTTCTTCTCAAAAATCGACTCAGAAAAATTTTCTTTGACTTTTCTTGAATTCGTAATTGAGGCAAAATCCGAAAAAATTAGAATTTTCGACTCAGAATTTTTTTTCGCAACT